CCATGTAGTCGACCACGGTTCGCGTCCCAGACCCGGTGGCTTAAAACTCACGCTGGGCGCGTATGTGTGCATGCCCAAGATCCCAAGAGGAGAATGGAAGAGAAGAGATTGCGGCATGACCATCCCCTGGGGAGGTGATTTCTTGCTTTCTGTCTCTAATGTCTGTCTCTGTCTGTCTGGCAAGCCACGCGCCCTATAGCGAAAATCTCTCAAAAAAAAAAAAAAATTAAAAAAAAAAAAATCCCCACCTAGAGGGGCCAGGAGGTGGTGCAACAGTAATGCCACTGTGTACCTGTGACCCAGACTGGCTGAGATGGGGTGGATTGGGGGGCTGGGACCCTTCCGGGATACCCTTCTATGTGTTTCATGGAATGAAAAAAAAAGTCCCTATCTAGGGACCAGCAGTTGGCATAATGGCTGTGTCGCGCTGGACTCCCATGTAGTCGACAATGGTTCAAATCCCAGAAGCTTAAACTCAAGCCAGGCGTGTGTGCGTGCGCGCCCAAGATCCCGGAAGGAGAATGGAAGAGAAGGGATTGCAGCATGGCCATCAACCTCCCCCCGCCAAAAAAAAAAAAAAAAGTCCCCACCTAAAAACAAAGGTAAAGCTCTGAAATACAACATTACCGCTATGGAGCTTTATATGATTTTGTCTTTTCCTGGACGATACTAGGTTTCTGCTTTAGCAAGCTAGTGCCCTAACAGATCGAAGATTTTATACTATTTTCTTCGTTAAGTGTGTAAGCTGACAAACTACTGATCCCAATGTAGCCTAAGACCTGTAGCTACTGGTAAAGGATCTAGCTGTTGTTGCGGTGCTTCTTGGGATACGTAGTTTCCCCTCATCGAAACCTGCTCATTGGCTACCAGCACACCTATCTTTTGGAAGGTGCTCGCCCACCTAGACCAAGCCTCGTGCACTTTTGCATGCCCACGTAGGCCCCGCCCCGGGCTCTGTCCTCGCTGGAGGCCACGCCTATTCTGCTGACCCCTCGGTGGTCACGTGGAGCTGTCCGCCACGCAAGTCTGGGTCCTTCTGCGATCCAGCGGGGTCCTAGCTGCCGCGGAGCTGCTCCTAATTTGCCTGTTCGCGCGAGAATTTGGAGGGACGGGTTTGGGGTCGGTGTGTGACAGGAGCTTGCTCGGCAGTGTACCTGAATCCCGAGTAGGAGCCACTTAGGGTCTGAGGGATCGGGCAATCGCCGGGGCACCCCAGGTCTGGAAAGCGCCAGTGCGCTCGGGAGAAGCCGGGACAGCCCGGCTCTCCCGCAGCCAGGTGTTAGGGTCGAGAGCCACCGAGACCAAAGTGAGAATTCAGACGTCTTCCAGCGCCTGGGCCACAACGGCGGCCCTGGGAGCAGAGGTGGGACCGATGCGGTGGCGGAGACAATGGGCGCTAAGGGCTGGGGATGCACTGGAGCGAAAGCAATGGCGGAGTCCTTAGAAAGGGGGCTGGTCCGCATGAGCAGTCTCACAGGCTGGACGTGGGGTGCAGAGTCCACATAGGCCCTAATTATTGACTGCTGTCCTCGCCGGCCGGCCTCCTGGCCTGATTGCAGGCGCCTTACTGCAGCTCTGCTGTGCCTGTCCTCGTGTAATTGACAGCCTTTCCCTGTAGCCGCCACATAGGCTGGTGAGCCATAGGCATCCAGTGTTAAGGTACCGACGTTTAGGACCTCACCTATCGACGTAGTTTCTGGGATGGAGCCCCAAGCCCTGAGCTCGAGCTCCCAACCACCACCTTGGGGAATTGGGGATCTTCAAGCGCTGAGAGAGCCCCTTTGTGTCCCAGCTGTTTCCTAGAAAGGAAAGCGTTGTCACTCTGAGGCCCTTCAAGGCCTTGGAATGAGGAGTAGGGAGGCAGAGGAAATGGAATCCGCTCCTTAGACCTATGTTTTATTCCCACTCAAACCCAAACCCAGGTGGAGCAACCCCACTACGCAAAAGATGAAAGGCTGGGGTTGGCTGGCCCTGCTTTTGGGGGCCCTGCTGGGAACTGCCTGGGCTCGGAGGAGCCAAGATCTACACTGTGGAGGTAAAGGCACAAAGAGAAGTGGGAGGAAGCAGAGCCTTGGGAGGACATAAGATTAAGGCTTGGGAGGATAAATGGAAATCCCTGGATTGATCACATTCTCCCACCGCCCTACCCTCTGCCCTATCCACCGCATCCCCATTCTCTTCCCTTGCACTAGCTTGCAGGGCTCTGGTGGATGAACTGGAGTGGGAAATTGCCCAGGTGGATCCCAAGAAGACTATTCAGATGGGATCTTTCCGGATCAATCCAGATGGCAGCCAGTCAGTAGTGGAGGTAACTGTTACGGTTTCCCCAAATAGAGAGCAAACTCTGGCTTTGTATGAGAACTCAACTAAGTAAGAAGGAACTTGGTTTAACAGACATGAAGAAAACTAACCCCAAAATAAAGATAAAATCATTTTTTGAGAGATTTTTGCTATAGGATAAATGCACTTAACAAAAAGATAGAAGAGAGAAATTACCTCCCCAGGGGGGGATGACCACACCACAGTCCCTTCTCCTCCATTCTCCTTTTGGGGTTTTGGGCACCCACCACATGTGCCCAGTGTGAGTGTTGTTTTTTTTTTTTTTTAAGAATTATTTTATTGGGAACCAGCAGTTAGCATAATGGCTATGTCGCTGGACTCCCACGTAGTCGACCGTGGTTCATGTCCCGGACCCGGTGGCTTAAAACTCATGCAGGGCGCGTGTGTGTGTGTGCATGCCCAAGATCCCGAGAGGAGAATGGAGGAGAAGGGATTGCGGCGTGGCCATCCCCCCTGGGGGGTGATTTCTCGCTTTCTATCTCTATGTCTCTGTCTGTCTGGCGAGCACACGCGCCCTATAGCGAAAATCTCTCTCAAAAAAAAAAAAAAAGAATTATTTTATTTAACTTTTTATTTTAAAAAGTAATTATTTTAATTTTATTTATTCATTCATCTATTTTAATTTAACCAGAGAGAGACACAGAAAAGAGAAAGTATGAAAGCAAGCCACCAGGTCTGAGACTTGAACTGCAGTTGGCCATGTGGGAGTCCAGTACCCTTAACCACTACACCACCTGCCAGCCCCTATTTATTTATTTTATTTTATTTTTTATTTTTTTGGAGAAGTTTTTGCTAAAGGGCATGTGCGCTTGCCAGAAAGACAAGAGACAGAGACAGAAAGCGAGAAATCACCCCCTGGGGGGATGGCCACACCACAATCCCTTCTCCTCCATTTTCTTGGGATCTTGGGCACGCATGCACACACGCCCAGCGTGAGTTTAAGCCGCCAGGTCCAGGACTCGAACCGTAGTTGACTACATGGAGTCCAGCATAGCCATTATGCTAACTGCTGGTCCCTTTAATTTTTTGACCAGAGAGGGACAGAGTGAGAGAGACAGGGAAGGTGAGAAGGTAAACTGCCAGGTCTGGGACTCTTAACTGTTGGTTGGCCATGTGGAGTCCAGCATCCTTAACCTTCCTCCCCCTTCCCCAGTTTTAAGCCGCTGTCAACTATGTGTGAGTACAGAAACATAACCATTATGCCATCTGCTGGTCCCAAGACAAGATCATTTTAAAAAGAAAAATACAGCAAAAATTAGAAGAAAACGAGGAAACAAAAACAGCACTTAGAGATATCTTAAAGATTGGCCTCGGGCTAGCCTCTGGCATGGAGGTTAAGGCAGCTGGATCTCACGTGGCCAATGGCATGGTTCAAGTCCCAAAACCTGTGGCTTGAAAAACCTGCTGGGTGTGTGTGTGTGTGCCCCAAATCCTAAGTGAAAATTGAGGAGAAAGGACTGTGGCATGGCCATCCCCCCAGGGGGTAATTTCTTATTTTTGCCCCCTCCCCACACACCCTATAGCAAAATTTTGAAAACAAACAAAAAAGATCTTATCCTTGTAATTAGAAATTTTGTTTTAGTTGAAAACATGATACACATATGCAGGGGCTGGCAGATGGCATGGTGGTTAAGCCACTGGACTCCCACATGACCAATCATGGTTCAAGTCCCAAACCTGGTGGCTTGCTTTCCCACTTTATCT